GGGGGGGGGGGGCATGGGGAGGAGAGACGGCCATTCGACGAGGATGCCCCGTGGAGAGAGGCAGCACGCACCGGTGCGTGCGCATCTCACGCGCATCACGGTCGGCCTTTGCGGCGATGCGCTCGAACTCGCGCTTGCTGTTGCGCTCCCGGCGTTTCCGGCGCTGAATACAGATGAATGCCACCAGCCCGGACACCAGGCCGAGGACCAGGACAGCCGACGCGGTGATCAGGAAGGCCAGCAGTAGGGTGGAGTGGAGTGCCGTTGCCGACATGGAGTGTGCCTCGATGCAGGGCCCGCCGGAAACAGGCAGCCCGGCCCCCGGGCCGGCGGCCGCCGGGACAAAGCCCTCGAGACATTGGAGGCAGAGGCCGCCGGAGTCGCAGGTTTGACACCCGCGGCCACAGGCAAGCGACTTTCCGGCAGGGAGCATCGCGAGGGGCGGATGGAGTGAACAAGATCGGGGAAGAAGCAACCACCGGGGAGAGGGAGGGGAAGGGGGGAGGGGGGGGGGAGGGAAGGCAAGGATGCGCGGATCACGGGCGGCGCCGGGCGTCGGCAGGCCGGCCCGGACGTTTGGCGATGGGGGGGGGGAGAGGAAGGATGGGCCGAAGGGGAGGCGAGGGGAGGAGCTGGCCCCACCTATCCTCCAAGCATCCGCAGGGGCCCCCCTGAACAGTTTCTCCTCGTTGCCCCCCCCCCCCCCCCCGGGGACGGGGCGGGATGCCGGCCAGAGCCGACTGGGCCTGAAGGACGGCCCGGCCGCAATCCCCCCGCCGCCCCGGCCCCTCGGCCCGGCCCCCACAACAACAGCGCGAATGCCCCCGCACGCGCGTGTACACACACACACACACACACACACTCACAAAGACCCAGAGACATACACACACAAACCGCCCAAGGTCCGGGAGCGCGCGCATGCGACATAAAAGAAGCCCACCCAAGATTGCAGGAACCCCCCCCCGCCGACCCAGCCAGACGACCGGCAGACCAACCGGGGGAAATGCGCGCGCTCGGCCGCCGCCTCCCCCCCCCCCACCGAATGATCGACTCGCTGTGGGACAATCACGTGGGGCGCAGACCTCGCGCCCGGAGCCGCCCACGGACTGCGGCCGCCCGGAGAACACCGGGCGGGGGCGGGGCGGGGGGGGGCGCCCGCAGATCGGCGTACACACGGGCCGAGGGGCGCAGTTTCCATGGACGCACGCGTGCGGCTTAGGAGGGCGCGGTCCGTGGTGGTCGCGCCGGATGACCACACGCACATCTCCTCCCTCTCCCGCTCCCCCCGCCCTCCCCTCGCCCCCTGCTTTTCCCCTCCCCCGCCACCCGACTCCGAGCTCTCTGTCTCTGCTCCTCCCTCTTCCCCACCACCACCCCCCCCCCTGTGCTCTACCTTTTCTCCCTCTCACAGCGGCAGTCATGAAGCACGCGCAGCTTGTCATTGGCACGGCCGGCGCCGGGAAGGTATGTCACACAGCGATGCGCCTCTCGGCGGATGACCGACTGACGCCCACCCTCTCCGGGGCCCTGTTGCCCCTCCCCTCTCCCGATCCAATCGGCGGCTGGGCTCCAATCGCCCGGGTCACAGTCGACGTACTGCAGCACCATCATGCAGCATTGCGAGGCCAGCCGCCGGACAGTGCATGCCATGAACCTCGATCCGGCTGCGGAATACCTTGCCTACACCCCGTCGATCGGTGCGTTCCAATGCCACCGGCGCCCGGCGACCCTGTGCCTGTCCTCCCTGCCCGTGTCTGACGCTCGTGGGCCGCTCGCGGCGTGCACATCCCCGGCCATGGGCCATCAGATATCCGCGACCTGATCACCCTCGAGGAGGTGATGGACGACCTGCGGTATGGCCCGAATGGTGGCCTGGTTTACTGTCTTGAGTGCGTGCCGCGCGTCGGGCCCCCCGCATCGGCCATGCCGCCTGCCAGAAGCCGGCCACCCATCTCACACATGACAATGCACACGCCAACAGGTACCTCCTGGACAATTTCGAGTGGATGGAGAACGAGCTGGACGATTACCAGGATGACTACCTGATCATTGACTGCCCCGGTACGTGCCGGTGCCCGGCCCTTCATGCCAGCCTGGCGCATGCTCTCGGCCCCTTTTGACACGTGTGTTCCCCCCTCCTTCCCTTTCCGCTGTTCACACACACACACACATGCATGCATGCATGCATGCACATGTACATGTATGTGCGGGGCCTGGCGACCTGCAGGGCAAATTGAGCTGTACACCCACTTCCCGGTCATGAAGGATTTCGTCGGCCATCTGCAGCGCCTCGGTTACCAGGTTGTTGTGGTGTATCTGATGGATGCCCAATTCACGGATGATGCGGCCAAATTCATTTCCGGCTCGCTGGCCGCCCTGTCGGCGATGGTGCGACATTCACCTGGCCGCTGCCCTTTTTTTTTTCCCCCTCCCCCCGCCCCGGCCCTTCGTGCCCTTTGTGGCTGGCCACCCGATGCAGCACGCTCACCGTGACATCCCACGGCCCTGTCTCCGTGGCCTTGGCGGCGGCCCTGCGGCCTGCCGAAACAGATCCAACTGGAGCTTCCCCACATCAACGTCCTGTCGAAGATCGACATCTACTTGCAGCGCCACACGACGCCGGACGGGACGCAGCCCCGGCGCCTGGGCCGGCGCTTGGACCGATTCCTCAACTTCGACATCAATCGCCTGCTGACCGACAAGAACCGTCGTGGGGACATGGACCGTCCGATTGCTCGGAGCAATGTCCAGCAGGGGAATTTCGCGTCGCTCAACTCGGCTGTCGCTCGCCTGGTGCGTGTCCGCCCCACCTTGGCCCCCCTCTCGCCGGCTGTGTCACGCCCCCTTCTTCTTCTTTTTTTTTGCCGCCCCTCCTCGCTCCCCTCACCCCCGAGCCTTGACCGCCCCATGCCCCGCGCAGCTGGAGGAGTACAACATGGTCAGCTTCCTGCCGCTGGACATCACCGACGAGGACTCCATTGAGCTGGTTCTCTCGCACGCGGACCACGCCATCCAGTATGGCGAGGATTTGGAGCCGCGTGAGCCGAAGGTGCGTCTCTGTCCAGCCCCGAGACCGCGGGGGCAAGTGAGCTCGAGGATCGGGCCCCCCTCCCGACGACCGCGGCCGAGTCTAACCCTTCCCTCTGGCAGGCCGACGAGGAGTGACCGTCCTTCACCCGCGCCAACTGACCCAGGCACGCGCCGCCGGCGCCTAGAATGTGCCAACCTTGCTGTGGGGACACCTCAATACAAAAGAAAACCAACCACCGATCCTGAGCCACGCATGCGGCGCGCACATATGTTTGCTTGTTTGCTTGCTCTCCTTTTTTTTTTCTTGCATGCGCTAATTCCACTGCTCGGAGCCGGGCCGGGGCCTGGAAAAGGCCCTGCCCCGGGGCACTGCGGTGTGTTGCGCGGCAAGAAAAGACCAGACACTTGACGACTTGAGCGAAGGAGGGAGACCACCCCGAGGGGAACGGGGGGGGGGGGGGGGGGGGGGGGGGGGGGGGGGGGGGGGGGGGGGGGGGGGGGGGGGGGGGAGCAGGACGCTGGCCTTCAGTCGGGACCAGGTCGGGGCCGATTGCTGGCTCCGAGGCCAACGCCGCGCCCCGTACCGACGATATCCAGATCATCGTCGGGGCGCGCGCGCGTCGGGCGCGAGTCCGCCGAGGCGCCAGCGCGGCGCTTGGCCGGAGCACCGACCAGCAACGCCCCGCACCCGACGTCATCCGGTACGCTGGAAACGTGGGGGAGGCGGTCGGATCGTGTGCGGCCGATGAAGCGCCCATCACGCCGGGAGGACAGCGCCCCGGCCGGCCGGCTTGACCCCCGGCCCCCGGGGGACTGGCGTGCCGGGTCGTCAATGATCAAATCCCCCGCCCGACCCGCCGAACGGAAGGGATCCCCGACATCCAGGCCGCCAGATCCATCGGACCCCGGGTGATCCTCGTCGCCGGAGTCCGAGGAGGAGCCATCGGCATCATCGCCGAAGCGTGTCAGGGGCGGCGGGAGCTCCTGCATCTGGACACTCGGGGCATGAGTAATCCGCCGGAAGATCTCCGCCACCTTGGCCTCCAGGCCCTTGAGGTAGGCCCGGTCCTCTTTGAGAGCAGCGCGCGCGGCGCTCGACGACATTCCCGACCCGACGGCCGCATGCGACGAGGAAGTCGTTATCCCCGGGTCGTGCAGAAGGAAGGAAGGGGCAAAGTAATCGATGTATGGATTGCTGGGGATCTACATGGCGCGGAGAGGCGGAGGGGGGCGGAGGGGGGGGAAGGGGGGGGGGGGCAGGGCGAAGGAGGCGGGGGAGCGTTATGAGCACATGTACAGACCCACCCGCGTGCATGGTGCATACACAAACACATGGGCACACAAAGAGCACACATGCATGCGCGACGGGCCGGGCACATGCGGGCCAGGCACATGCGCCAAAGGGCGAAATGACGGACGGGGGGGAATTCCGGACACGCACCTCATCCGGGATGTCCTGCCCGCAGACGACAGCAGTCTCCCAGGTCCAGCACCGAGCCACATTGCGCACAGTGTACCCGCCTCCGCCGAGGACCAGAGTTGGCCGATTGAAAGACCGGACAAAGCGCACACATTCCCCATGGCCGCGGACACTGAGATTGAAGCGCCCGAGGCGGTCGCAGCCCAGCGAGTCGGCCCCGCATTGGAGGACAATGGCCCCGGGATTGAAATGCTCAATGGCCCGGCGAACCACCGGCTGGAAGATGGACTGGTACGATTCGTCGTCAATCCCGTCCTTCAGGGGAACATTGATGGAGAAGTTCTGCCGAAGGCAGTCGAACCGGCGGCAGGAGGACAAGGGCCGTGGCAGGAGGCGGAGGGAGGGAGGCGGAGGGGCGGAGAGCGGGTCAGAATCGCGGCCAGTGTGGTAGCAACCGGGCAGCCGCCGAACGCGCGGCCGCCGGAGTAGCAGAAGGACCCGGAGGGTACGCACCGTGCCGGCACCGACACCAACCTCGGTGATGTCTCCAGTGCGGGGGAAGAAGTGGCCGTCATACTTGTGGAAGGAAAGGGTCATCACGCGATCAGTGACGTAGAAGGCCTCTTGCACCCCATCGCCATGGTGCACATCGATGTCAATGTACATGACTCGCGCATGGACGCTGCGCACGAAACCAGCGGCCACGAGGGGGAGAAGGGAGAAGAGGCGGGGGCGAGCGGGGGAGCGGTGAGCATGCTATTGTGGTGATGGCAGTGGATGTGAAAGAGAGAGAGGCAGAGAGGCAGAGAGGCAGAGAGAGGCAGAGAGAGGCAGAGAGAGAGAGAGAGAGGCAGAGAGAGAGGCAGAGAGAGAGGCAGAGAGAGAGGCAGAGGCAGAGAGGCAGAGAGGCAGAGAGAGGCAGAGAGAGAGGCAGAGGCAGAGAGAGAGGCAGAGGCAGAGAGAGAGAGGCAGAGAGAGAGGCAGAGAGAGAGGCAGAGAGAGGCATGGGGGCGCACCGAAGCAGCTCCAGGATGGCCAACACAATGTCATTGACATAGCAGAAGCCACTGGCTTCGAACTTCTTGGCGTGGTGCAGCCCGCCAGACCAGTTGATGGCCACATCGCTGGAGCCGTCATTCAATTTGTAGGCGCCATCCAGCGAGCCACCGGCGTAGCGCTGGCAGAAGTCGAACATCCCCGGGAAGACGGGGCAATCGTCGCCGAAGTTGAAGCGCGTCAGGGTGTCCAACGTGAAGGAGTGGATGTTGCTCGGGGTCACCCTGCTCGGTTCGCACAATGTCAGGAGGAGAGGGATGGCAAAGGAGAAGGCAGGAAGCGGCGCGCGGGCCATCTGGCGAGGGGGGGGGGGGTGTCTGCATGAGAGCGAGAGAGGGGGGGGGACGAACCGCTTGAGGAAGTCGATATAATCGGCCGAGTGGAACTGCCGCATTTCGTGCTCCGTGGCCCGCCGGGGACGAAAGATGGACATCTGCCGGTGTTGAGAGGGACAAATAGGTATGCAAGTGGAGGGGAAGGGGGACAAGAAGGCATGGCCGGTGAGTTGCCCGGGAAATGACCGACAACCGGGGCCACGCGCTTGAGGGACGCACACTGTTGTGCAGGCCATAAGAGGACACCAGGTGATGTGTCAGGACAATCCGGTGCGGCTTCATCGGGTGAAAGGCCCCGAAGTGGAAGTTCCCGATCGACGGGTCGGAGAAGTAGGAGATGCGGTCATTGTAGTGCCTCTGAGACTGGAAGGCTGGTCGGTGAGACATCGGCTTGACATGGGGGGGTGGAGCACGCGCGTGCGCCAGGTGGGGGGGGGGAACGGAGAGGCACGCGAGAGGGGAGGGCGAGCGACGAGAGGCCGGCGCGCGGCAGGGGCAGGGGGGAGGGGGGGAGGCAGGGAGGGGAGGGGAGAATGCCGCGGGTACTATGCCAGCCCGATCGCCCCCATGGGTTGCGGTTATATGTGGAGGGGTGGCGGGGACTCGCACGGGCTGCCAACGCTCGCGGCCACGCCGCTCGGCTCTTGGCACTGGCGCGCAACACGCATGGGAAGACACAATAGAGTGCTTTTTTATTTGCGCCGGATGATGCTGCCACCTTGCCCGGTGTATGCACCCACCCACCGGGCCTGTTGGGGGCTGGGCTTCATTTTATCTGGCCCCCCCGCTGCCCCCTGTCGCAGGGTCTCGGGCAGAAGAACCAAACCACCGGCTGCCTGGGCGACTCGCCGCGCCGGACATGCGGCTGAGCCACACACACACACACACACACACACACACACACACACACACAAACGCACTGGGGTGTGTACGTGCTGTGCCGGCGACACGCGGATACCCCGCACGGCCATGCCTGTGGAAGAGGAAAGGACAAAGTACGCGGCCATTCATACAGCGCGTGGACGCATTACGGGGACCGATGGCCGGTCGAAGGCCGGGGCACTCATGGCCAACCTCTCTCCCGGGGACCCGCGGAGGGATGAGGCGCTCGGGACAAACACCCACACATACACACGCACACACACCCACACACACACGGATACACACGGATACACACGGCTACACAGACGCGCGGATGCACAGACAACAAGATGCGACGTGCTCCTCTCTGGCCCCCCTCCCGACACCCAAGCGCCTTGCTCGGCGTGGTCGCCGTGGGAAAGGACAGCATGACAGAAAAAAAGACACCACACGGAAAGAAGGCACACACGAGGGGAGAGGCAACAAGCAGGGGGGGAGGGATGGCAAATTTTGAATGTGTGTCCATTGGCTGGGTGTGTGATGAACGATGCTGCCTCTACGCTGCTGTTGCTGCGGGAGAGAGAGCGCGCGCGCACGCGCGTGTGTGTGTGTATGTGACGCCGCACATGGCGGAGGAGAATATGGGCGCCCTCGCCTCGACCCCTCCCCCCTGGCGGGCCTTTGTGGGGGCGAAAAAAGCAAGTCACCCACATCGGGATCAGGAGAGGAGGAGAAGAAGAAGGAGGACGCATATATAGGAGAGGAGGAGCGAGGGAGCGCAGGGAGGGAGGGACGCATGAGGGTGCTCCGCGTGTGGCAGGTGGTACACATGCATGTGTGGGAAGGCCCCGGCTATCCGGGCACACACACACAGAGAGAGAGAGAGCGAGAGGGAGACGGTCATGCCCGCGGGATGATGACAAAAGCAGCAGCAGGAAAGGCGGCCACCGCCGGAGGGTGACAGTGTGCGCCTGGCCGCCTGCCATATGCATTACCGCCCGCGGCTGGAGAGAGGTGGGCCCATGCCCGGGTCGTCCGCGCGGCTCCCCCCTCCTCCGCCCGGCGTGCGCGCGCGCGATGCAGAACGCATGCGCCGGCGGGCTGTCGGGCGTTCACACTCTACTTGGAGGAGCGGTAGACACCGACAACGACGGCGTGATCACGCTCATAGGGCTCGAGGGTGACCTGCTCGCGGGGGCGGAGCTTCTCGGCCTTGAGGCGCTGGACCTCGGCAGCGAAGACAGCCGGAGCGGGGACGGTGGAGTCGATGCAGTTGGCCTTGATGGAGATCATGAAGTGACCGCCGACCTTGAGGAAAGCGTGGGCGTTGATGGCCACAATACGGGCCTGGTCGGGCTGGGCAACATCAGCGAAGATGACGTCAACCATGGGGACGAGCATGCGGTACTTCTCCGGGCGGCGAGCATCCTCGATAATCGGGATGACATTGGTGCGCTTCTTGGCGACGTTGATCAGGTCGCGGCCCATGCGGTGGGAGAACTCCACAGCGTAGACGGCGCCCTCCTGTGGGGGGCATATGCAGGAAAGCACACACACACACACACACACACAAGGGAGGGGGGGACAGATCAGGACGAAGACCAGGAATGTTGAGTACGCCACCGTTCCATCACAGAAGTAGGCAATCCGCAAGTGCAAGTGTCCGGGTTCAGGGAAGGACGCCATCGACGCGAGATGGATGGCAGCAGGGACCCCACAACAGCGCGCCGAGGACACAGACACAAGAAGGCAGGGCAAGAGGAAGGGGAAGGAGACACAGGCGCGCGCGCACACACACACACACACACAAAAGCAACTGGGTCAGGGAGGGGGCCGGAAAGTGTGCGCGCGTGCGTATGTACGCGTGATGGGGGGGAGAGAGAGAGAGAGAGGGACGGGCGGGGCAAGGATGCAAGGCAAATGCACGCACCGGGCCGACAATATCGGAGACGTGAGAAACAGTGGTACCGGCAGAGGCACCGAGGTAGAGGACCTTGGAGCCGGGGGCGATGTGGATGTCAGCCAGACCGGCCAGAATGGCCGAGGCAATCTTGGAACGGAAGGGGTTCCAGACGCGGTACTTGACCTTGCTGTCGCCCTCCTCGACGGAGATGCGCTTCTCGCCGTAGGTGGACTCGCCGACAACCATGTTCCGGGTCAGCAGGGCGTCCTCCTTACCACGGGAGATGAAGACACCAGCATGGCGATGGGGCTCGACGATGGTCTTCATGCCACCGCGCATGCCACCGCGGGCGCCACCACGGCCACCGCCACGGGCACCGCCGCGACCGCCGCCGCGACCGCCACCGGGACCACCGAAGCCGCCACGGCCACCGCCGCGACCGCCACCGGGACCACCGAAGCCGCCACGGCCACCGCCACGACCGCCACCGGGACCGCCGAAGCCGCCACCGCGACCACCGCCGAAGCCACCACGGGAGACTGTGCGCACGCGCGCGTGCACGTCCGTCGCATTGGAGAAGGGGGGAGAAGAGGACAATCACGGGGCGAGGGGAGGGGGGGGGGGAGCGAGGAATTAGTTTGCTGGTGGGCTTCCACAGCAATGGGGGGCAGGCTGGGAGGCCGGAGAGACGCACCACCACCGCGGGGGGGACCACCACGACCACGACCGGACATTGTTGAAGGGGGGGGAGTTACTCTGTCACAGAGGAAAACAGCAACGGGAGCTGCTGGTTGGGGGGGGAGGGGATTAGTAGAACAGTGCCGGGAAGAAGGAGCACTGAATCTGGAGGTAGCTACACAGGAACCACCGAGCACACTGCAGAAAGGCAGGAGAAAGGGGGAAGGAGGCAGCAGGAGAGGCCGAACTTCCGGCGGGGAAGGGCTCTCGGAGAGGTGGCTCTTCACAGAGAGGGGGCTGCTGAGGGGGCGGGGCGCGCCCGGGGCAGGACACACGAGGCCAGACAGGAGAGGCAGGGCGCGCCCGCACCAGCCCCGGACCCCGCCACGAGGGACCGGGCGCACTCACACGGTTGCCCCCCACCCCCCCGCCCCCCCGGGCCCCGCCCACTTGCCGACAAGGCCACACACACACACACACACACAGGGACCTCTGCGGCCAGGGGAGCGTGTGCCACCAGGTCCCAGCCCCCCCCCCCCCCCCTCCGTGCGCCCCGGCCGAGGGAGCAAGACGCATGGGCAGTTGGCCCCGGCGCGGGCAGGGCTCCCGGGGGCGGGCGGGGGCTCATGGGGAATGCCCGCCCGTGCCTGCCGCCCGCGGCCGAGCCGCCGCCGGGCTCAGAGCACACGAGCCGGATTCGCAGGACCAACCCGCCCCGCACGGACCGCCTTCGCGCCAAAAAAAAAAAAAAGAACGTACGCCACCAGGGAGCCGCCTGCCCCCGCCCCCGGCAGGCCCATGCACACGCGCGGACAAGCCGGCCGGCGCGCAGCCCGGCGCCCGACGGCAGGGCACATGCAAGGAACCCCTGGCCGCTCGCCGCCACCGACGCGGGGGGGCAGTGGTCCCGAACGAGCATCACAGCCGCTCGTCGCGGGGCGCCGAGTCGCGACCCCCCTCCCCCCGCCTACTTTGCCGGGTGAGCCACATGGTGGGGCCAGCACAAGGCACCCAGGGGGACAACGAGGCCGGCTGGCCTCGTGGCTTGGCCGGGCCTGGCCCGAGGCCCCCGCCCCCCCCCCCCCCCCCCCCCCCCCCCCCCCCCTTTTTCTCTCTTCACATCTCAGCAGGTCTCCGTGTGCGCGCACCTCTGGGCCCCACGCTATGTCCTCCGTGTGCAAGCGCGCGGTGGCGGCGCGTCTCTCCGGGCCGGCTTCTGGGCGGCTACCTGTAGCTTGGCGCACGGGAGCTCGCTTCACGAGGCCCTTCCGCCGGGCCGGAACCCCGACAGACACAGTGCCGCCAGTGGCTGGCCAACCGGCGGCCAGCCCTGCTCCTGGGATGCTGTGGCCACGCCGCCGCCCCCCCCCCCCCCCCCCCCCCCCCCGCCCTCGTGCGCCTCGCTCCAACTGGGGTGAAGAAAGAAAAGAACACCCGAGAGAACCAACCGCAGGGCGAGGCCCGCCTAGGCCGGTCCAAGAAAATCCAGCGATCGCGCAGAGAGATACACACCCACGCGCACTTGCAGGGCCGCGCCCACACGCGCGGCGCCTAACAGGCAGACGGCCAGGCGGGCAAGCGAGCGCCGCACGCGGGGACGGCCGCGGCGATCCCCCAGCCGCCACGGGGAGCCACAAGGGGCGCCCTCTATCAGGGTTGGAATGGTATTCTTCTCAGACAATGCGGCATTCTGAGATGTTCTATTGTTTGTTTCTATCTCCTAGTCCAGCACCGAGTGGCTGCGATCTTTGCATGTGCGGCAGATTCGCCTGGGTCTCCCGCCCCCGCGCTGGCGGGCAATTGGGCGGACACACGGGCGGGGCGGAGAGACGGCAGGGCATGCCCTCCAAATGCAAGTGTGGTTTTATTCTTCCTCTGGCAGGGAAGAGGGTGTACTCGGCCTCGCCGGGGGAGGAGATGCTCCATCCTCCCCCTGCCTGGCCTGGCCTGTGAGAAGGCCGATATCTCATGCATACACGGCCCCCCCCCCCCCTGCCGTGCGCGCATGCCCTCGACCGCTCGGGTCCATGCTTGCGGCGATGGTGATCGGTCACTCTGCCTCTTCTGAGTATTTGTGTATTTGAAAAAAAGGGGGGACATGTGCCGCATGACGCATGGAAAGCACCTCGGCACTCTATGCGGGGAAAGAGGGGGGGAGAGAAAAGGAGAGAGAGAGAGAGAGAGAGAGAGAGAGGGAATACATCGATCTGAAGGGGGAGAGAGGGGAGAGGGGGCGGCGTGCACGACGAAACCGCGGCCACGGCACAAAAGAGAGGCCATACACAGCCGGGCGCGCGTGTGCCGGGATTATGAAGAGAGAAAGGGGGTGGGGGGACGCGACAAGGCAGTACGCGTGCCCTCAAAGTGTGTGCATGTGCGCGCGCGAGCGCGTGCCTACGTGATGTGTGTGTGTGTGTGGTGGGGGAGGGGGGGTGCGTGGATGTCCCCTGGGAGGCGATGCGTGAAAGGGGGAGAGGCGCCCCCCTGAGCTGCTCTGCCCCCGCGGGGAGGGAGTCGAAGGGCCGGGGAGATCGAGGGCACTGAACAGGCCCACGGGAGGGAGCTGCCTTGCATGGTGGGGGGGGGGGGGGG